CATACAAATTCTAAGGTTCACTTTTACCTTTAATTAAACATTTAACTTATTTTTCATTTGCATTACATAATTAGGAAATTATATTCTACTGAAGAAATCTGGATCATATAAAGCTTCCCTCTTATTTTGGTTTTTATTAAAATACATTATTTAGTTATTTGAATTATATAGGGCCACGTTTTGGTTTGGTTTGGTAAGTGGGGCATGCATGTCCATGTGTGTGTGTGTGTGTGTGTGTGTGTGTGTGTGTGTGTTAGAGACAGACATACAAACAAGGAGCTTATGTGCACACACACACACACACACACACACACCCTTGCTTTTGCCGAAGTTTAGAAGGTAGAAATAAAAAATAAACATGAACAAATGTTAACCCTCACTAGTCATCATTGTGTTTCAAACTAGCAAACTAGTTTTAAAATAATGAGAACATTCAATGTATGTAAGATTATAGTGATGTTAACAGTATATTGTTGCAACATAAATAGATAAAATATTTTTAGAAAGCAATTTTGTAATAGGTCTCAAGAATTATTATAGAAGATCATAGACTATGATCTAGTCATATTGTTATTTGAAATTTATATTCTTTCCATGTAAAAGAAGAAATAAGGCCCAAAAATATGATGTTTTAGCATCATTTTTAAGAGCAAAAAAATTGGCTATAACCAGTCTAATTATAGAGAAACAATAAAATCAGAGCATTAATGTTATGCAGCTGTTAAAAACTGATTATAAACACATACCAATGTAGAAAATATTGATAATATTTTAAATGTAAAAAAGGCCAGTTTTGTGGATAGAGACATGAAGAAGCATACATAAGCATGCATGTTGGCTAGAATGGTTCTAAGAAACATGCCAGCCTTGTTATATTATGATTTTTTGTACAAAAACTAAGAAAATTCAGGAATTTTTGCATGTTTTGGAAAGATAGGGTATCCAGTGGGGTGGCTGAAGTTACTTCTGTTACAGATATTCTATGCTCCTGGTTGGCAGCCTGTGTGGAGTCTAGGAAACTACTTGCTGAATGTATTAATTGTGATATTAGGTCCCAGCAAAGGGACCAACTAGAGAGAGGGGTGCTCTGGTACTCTAAGCCAGCATGAACACTTTCTGTGTTGTCCCAGGAGACATAGTAAAATGGAGTTTAAGGGCTCAGGGTATAGCACAGTGGTAAAGAACTAGATTAGTATGCACGAAGCTCTGGGTTTGATCCCTAGCACCACCAAAAAAAAAAAAAAAATGTACAATTTAAGATAAGTGATTTTTCAGTTAGAAAACTGATTAAAACTCTATAACTGAAGCCCTGTTGTGGAAGTTGGAAGGACGTTTTAAAGCTTTGTCCTGTCTTGGTAAGGGAATTTTTGGGTGAGAGTAAAGTCATTTCTCAGTATACTTGAGGGATTGGTACTAGGACCCCCATGAATTCTAAAATCCATGGATACTCAAGTTTCTTATATAAAATGATACAATCTTTGTGTGTAACAAATGCATATCCTCCTGTAGATTTTAAATCATCTTTAGATTATTTATAATACATAGTCCAATGTAAATGCTAAGAAAACAATTCTTATACTGTATTTACTTACGTGGTATTACTTATGGAATAAAAACAGAAATATATATGTACAGTATAGACACAATTAAAAAAAATATATTTTTGGTCTGTGGTTTCTTGAATGCATAGGAGCAGAGAGGCCTGACTCTGTGTGTGTGTGTGTATGTGTGTAAATTTTCTTATGTGAATATCTCAGAATTTAAATACCCCTGATTATTGGAATATTCAGGGTGTTTTTCAACTTTTTTTTTTGTGGTTATAGATTCTGTCACAGTTGCCATCTTTTGACTTTAATCTTTATTTGCAGTTGTTACCTACTTTGGATACCAATTGCTAGTACTCCATTGCTTCCTTCACTGCTCAGTTGGAGGCTGGGGAGGAGTGGCAGGGATAATTTTCACAGAGGCTTCTATGAAGAAGAGAAGCCACTAGAGAACTACATAGAAAAGATAGTGACATGGTTGAAGAGGCAAAGCAGGGGATTTGGGGGCCTTGGGACAGCAGGCTCTGTGAATCAGTTCTTAGCAGCTGTTGTGACAAAGGATATTCAAAGGAACCTAAAGGATCCATCAGAGGACTGGGGCTTTGGACCTCAGGTTTGTGTCATGCACCATGGTTTGAGCGTGTGGCTCCTGCGTAGGTTGGTTAGTTATAACCGCATTTCTGTGTAATGCGTGGTTCTCCTGCAGCTGATCTATCCCCCACCTCCCACATTCTTGATGAGCTCTGTGACTCAGCTGCTTCTCAGGACATCTGAGCAGCTTTCCCCACCCTGGGGATAGATCCACCGTCAGGAGATGTTGTAACGGGAATTCTTTATTCTTTTTTGGGGGGGTCCATGAGAGTTTCCCCTACCATGTGGATCCATGCAATTGGGAATTCCCCTCAACACAAGTAGACTTTTAGAGGATGTAGAAAGAATGCCTTTTCCAAACTTCTGGTTTAAGAAAAGACAGGCATTTGTTACTCCTGTAGGCTGAAAAGGGAAGTTTGAATTCCAGCCTCAAGTTGGACACTGTATTTCCTCACAGGGCTCAAAGACAGCTTTATTCTTCCACTGTAGTTTGTGTGATTTTTCTTAGAGATGTCAGAGGAGTAGCAAGAATTCTGTAGCCCCTGCAAATTCTGTCTCTGGGACTGGTTTGGTATCAGATAATTGGCCTGGTTTTCTTGGTGGAGGGCTAGTGATCTCCCTCCCTATATGTGCCGCTAATGTAGGTGGTGGTACTTTGTGCAGGGGTATCCCCTCCCCCACTCTTGCCCTCTACTTCTGCTATGCTGCTTCCTCCTCCTCAGCTGTTTTTTTTTTTTAATTGTAAATGGACACACAATATCTTTATTTATTTTTATGTGGTGCTAAGGATGAAACCCAGTGCCTCACACATGCAAGGCAAGAGCTTTACCCCTGAGCTATAGCCCCAGTCCCTCAGCTCCTCTTCCCACTTTTTATCCTTTTCTCACCTCTTCTTTTACTTCTCCTTCTACTCCCTTCTTGGCTGCATTATTGCATCTTTGCCCTGTTTCTTTGGGCTTTACTCTTTTGCTCCTCCCATTCTCTTTCCTCCCCAGTGAGTAGCCCTGGGATCTCCTGATGCCTCTGCTTGACAGCTGCATCTTCTGTTCCTCTTGGGATTCTGACCTGAGCTTACCTGACCACTGTTCACTGGGGTGTGTATTTGTGTGTGTATGTGAGTTTCTCTTGGGGCAACTTCTTAACATTGCAGGGCCTTTACAGAGGTGGCAGAGAATAGACCATAGCACTAGTTACCACCTTTAGCTTGAAATCATGAGAATGTGTCTCCCTACTCTGGGGGACTGCCCTGCTGTGGGTCTGGAAGACTAGGGCTGTCATATCTAGAGCTTGCTTCCTGACCCAGTGTCATGTCATGGAGGATAGCCTTTGCCAGCTATCTTACACCTTTGCTGGACCTTGGTGAGCCATTATGGAATTTGCTCTGTTGGAGTCAGTTAGGGTTTGTTGGGTGTTACTTGTTTTTGAAAATCTGAATGTCATGTGGTGCTCTGTAGCCCTATGGGGCCCCTGTCCTGTTCTATACAGTGTGTGCATTCAGATGGGGTGTCTCTAGTTGTTGCAAGGTGCTCCTTCTTGCTGGGGAGGACAACAGAACTTCTGCCCTTTCCTTTTGCCCTTCAGAAAGGCCCATGGAAATTCTAGAGAAAAGAGAGAGAGGTTTGATGGTTGGCTCATCTCACATTACCAGAGATGGTATTCTGGAATCAGTGAAAGTACTCAGGGCTTGGGACTTTGTTCTGATTCATCATTGTTTCAATAAGTAACAGCTGGGCAGCTGCATGAGTCTGCTCAGGTGACTGTAACAAAGTGCTATAGACTGAGTGGCTTCAACAACAGAAATTTATTTTCTCACAGTTCTGGAGGCTGAAAGTCCATGTAATTGTGATAATAGGTTGGTTTCTTCTGAGGCCAGAGGGGAAGGATTTTTCCAGCCTCTGTCCTTGGCTTGTAGATGGCCATCTTTTCTCTGCATCTCATGTAGTCTTCCCTCTGTATCCAGATTTTCTCTTCTTGTAAGGATCCATCATAATGGACTAGGACCTACCCTATGACCTTGTGTTAATTTAATGACCACTTTAAAAACTTTGTGTCCAAATATAGTCATATTGTGAGGTCCTGGGGTTAGGACTTCAAATAAATTTTGGGAGAATACAGTTTAGCTCATAACCTTAAAGTAAGGTAAGTGCTACCAGGCTAGGGCTGAGGGATATGAACTTGCCACAAGGCTCCAGAAACTCTTCCATGTTTAATCCTGAGGTGCCTTCATGGAGTGGGAGGGGCTGCTGTTCTGAATAAATTCCTGGCAGAATTTTATCCATGATTTGAATTGGAGTTTAAGTTCTTTCTGAGATAGTTTCTTCATGTATAAATGAATTATGCGCCACTGACTTCATAAGGCTTTTGTGCAGAGTTATAATAATAGCTGCTATTATGAAGTGCTTACCGTGTCCCTAAGCACTTAACTTGCAGTCAAAATCTTATGTACATGCCTAGTACGTGCAAGGCCTTGGGTTCAATCCCCAGCACTACCAAAGAAAAAAAAATGTGGCATCACAATTAATAAGTGTCCAGAACTGGAATTTGAACCTGGCCCCAGATCTATAGTCTAAGCTTGTATCCTTCTGTATATGTAAAGTGCCTGATGCTGACTATGCTTGGCAAAGTTAGTTGCCTTGGGAAAGTTAGTTGAATACATGTTAGTGGATTCTGATAACTCTTCATTGAGTTGGTAGAAGTTTCCACTGGGGTCTGGTTAGGGTGGGACACTTTGTAACCTAGGGAAGGAAGGTGATGAACGGGTGTCCCAACCCAGCCTCTTGCAGAAGTGAGTCAAGCCAGGGAGAGGTGAGGTTCCCACAGGTCCTGCTTCACCCTCCTCACCAGCACCTCCCTCCTGCCATGCAGGGTGATGTGAGCAGAGCCCAGGAATGCCTTATGTGGATCGGCAGAACCGAATCTGTGGGTTTCTGGACATCGAGGAGAATGAGAACAGCGGCAAGTTCCTGCGGAGGTACTTTATTCTGGACACCCAGGCCAACTGCCTTCTATGGTACATGGACAACCCCCAGGTGAGAGGCTAAGTGGAAAAGGGGCAGGGCAGCTGGCTGCCCATCACTGCCTGGGAGGAATGCAAGTGGGATTAGAACTTCATCTCATGGCAACACAAACCTTCTGGTCAGTAAGAAGGGAGAAGCCTTCTGCCACACAGGCACACAACATACATACACAGACAGACAGGCACACACACACACACACACACAAATTCAGGGCTGGGGTTGTAGCTGAGTGGTAGAGCATGTTGTTGGCACGAAGTCTTGGGTTCAGTCGCTAACATTAAAAAAACCCAAAACAAACAAAACCCTCTCAGATCTTAGCCTGAGGAGAAAAAAGCTCTGCTGAACCTAGAACTTTTGCCTTTTCTCATGCACCAAGAATTTAACACTTGCAAAAGTCAGGCAGAGGCCGGCCAGGCTGTCTCCAGGCTCCCAGGACTGCTGTGTTTCCTCTTACCCTTTTGTAAGGGATGTGGCTTGGTGGCTACTCCTGCTCTTCCAGTCTGGGGCCCCTCCCTAGCAGAGAATGTGACCTGGTTCTCTGAGGTGGACAAATGTTGGGCTTTAATGGTCTCCTGAATCAGGAAGTTCATAGAGTCCTGGGTTGGAAGTGACCTTGGAGTTCACCTATTTTGCTTCCTCACACTACAGATGAGAACACTGAGTTGCAGGCTTTGTAATTGATCTAGGAAAGGACACAGTCAGTGTCCTTAGCATTTTGTGACAGGCACAAAGATGGGGGCCACTTAATTTTTATTGCAATACCTGCAGTCATCACTGATTTAGGAAAAAATTGTACTTTGAGAACTTAAGTTTTTGTTTTTTTCTTTCTGGAGTGGAGTGCTACTAACTCTTTCCTTCCCACTGCCCTGGAGCAGTTTGGTGGAATGAGGCTGTGAGGACTTGACATGGCTTCTGAACAGCGAGATCATGGGTCATGGCTATGTGGGGAGGGAGGAGGATGTGGGGGTTGGGATTTGGCTCTGTTCAGAGGCTTAGAAAAAGGAAGATCTGAGTATTGGGGGATAGATTTTTGCTTTAAGATGTGATGTGGAAAAAGAGTCATGTGAATCTTTGTTAAGTCATTATCCAGGGTTCAGTCCTCTAGAGACCTTTGGCATTTGCCCTCTGGATTTGATAGCTGAGCAAAAATGTTATAGATACAGAAACCGTATGCAGAAAGCTGCTGTGAATTGCTGTTTCCAGGAAGACTTAAAGCTGTGCTCCACATTTCACCCCACATCTCTGAAAACCCTGTCACTTACTTTTTTTTTTCTTTATTGATTTAATTTTTTGCAGTTCTTGAAGGTTGAACCCAGGGCCTTGCACATGCTAGGCAAGTGGTCTATCACTGAGCCCTACTCCAGCTTTATAACTTATTCTCACTTGAGCATTCAGTTTTGGGGGTTCACTTTGGGTCCTGCATATGGACGTTATTACACCCTCTGCTTGTCTTGTTATGTTTTGGTCCTGGTTTGCCTTCAGACGCTGCTACATCATTTTCCATCTTTACTCTGTGCAGGTCCCCACATCTGGGTCCACAGATTCATTGTAAAAGGAAATGCTAATGTACTCTTCCCGCTGGAGGGGTTTTGAATTAATTCTTTGTTGCCAATTGTCTGAGCTTCTGCCACACTAAGGTAGAGTCCTGGGGGACTTAGGATCCCTGGATCTTATTTCCTCTTTGCTTTCCCCACTTGATGTACCTTTTCCTACTCACTTGCCATGTTAGCCCATTTGAGGTTATTTGAAGGTTATTTTGAAAATCTTTTCATCTTGATTTACCTGCTTCATGCCTTCTTCCTTACTAGCACTGTCCTGAACCCAAATGTACTTGCTGAGGTCATCCTGCCCAGCCGCTGCTTACTGCCTCTCCTTGAGAGTTAGATCTTCCTTCAGTCCCTGGGCCACAAGAGTCTAGCTGTCAGTAAGAGATTACCCCAGGACCATAATATCTCTATCTTGGATCTTGAATATTGCCAACTGTTAGGATTTTTCTCACTGTGACCTACCTTTTGATGTTACTGTTACTTGGGCCCAAAACCTGCACTGACCTTGGATATTGTGCCTCCCGGGCTCTGTGGGATCATCTTCTGCAGCAGTTCTCATGATGTTCAGGGCAGTCTGTTTCTCTTGCCTGCCAACTGAGTGCTCAGGATGCTTTTTATGTTAGAAACTTCTTTGAGTTTAAATTACCAAATAGAACTTGTGGCCCTATGCTGAGGATTCTTTTAGATTTTCCTAGGTGGGTTGGCATATGCCTAAAAAGAAATACATAGTGAAAATTTAGAACATTTTACTTCTTCTCTTGTCGGGTTAGTTGTTTTTGTTTATAGCCAAGTAAGTGCTCCAGATTTGAGAATGCATGTTTTGGTAAATTGTAAAATGGTATTAGCAAACATTTATTCCTTTATGACAAGCACATTCATTGGGTTTTCATTTCATTCTGACAGCAAGTCTCACAGGTAGATGTTGTCCTCATTCCAAAGTTAAGGAAGGTGAGGCAGAGAGGGGAAGAAGTTTGCCCATGGCTATATAATAAGAAAGTGGCAGAGTCAGGATTCTAAGCCTGAAGATGTGACTCCAGTGCCATTGCCATGATTGCTAATAATGAGACAGTCATTTGGAGTCCTCAGGAGAAAGAAAAGCCTTCAATGGTAGTCTCTGATTAAGAAAGAGAAGCTGGAGGATCTCAGACCTAGAGGGCAGAGAGCTTGTCACGTTTAGCTTTTGATGCAGAGCATCCAGCTTTGATAAATGTATTCTCAGTAAATGAATGGATGAGCAAACTAAAGAGGGCCCGGGAAAGAGACTGTCAGAAGGCAGGTCCTTAGGAAGTATGGCATGGTATTACTGCCCTCCTGGATTAAAGACAGGGCCCAACTAGATGGAAGTTGTGCAGCATGGGGCACCCTGGGGATGTGGGGAGAGGTATTGAGAACTATGTTTGGTCTTTGAACATCTTTTATAGGGAAAAGGAGACCCTGATGTGGTTGGTATCTTCATCATTGGACAGGCATTAATAAGCAGAGATTCTCTGAACCCAGGTCTCCGATCTTTACCTGGTAATTGGTGTTCACTCCGTCTGTCTCTACAGCTGTTGACTCTTATTGCTGTTGATTATTAACTGCAGTTTACTTACTGAGTGGTTATCATATACCAGTCATTGTGTGAAATGCTTTGTATGTGTTATCTCATGAAATCCTCTTGATAATCTCAGGCCCTTGGGATAATTATCCCTCTTTGTTCACAGTCACATAGGTGGTTAAGTGCAGAACCAGGGTTGGAGCCACATTTGTCACTTTCTTCCTTTTTATGATATTTGTGCTCAGTCCTGTAGATGATGTGGAAGGTGAATTCAAGGAGATCTTTGCCATTGGGAAGCTTCAGGTATAGTCGGGGAGATGAGAACAGAACACACAAAGCTATATATCTCTAATAATTGTAATGCATCATTGTAACAAGAGAGGGTATCATCTGTCGTTGATGCTAACACCCACATGCCAACATTTTATTTCTTTCAAGAGATAAGGTCTTGGGCTGAGGTTGTGGCTCAGTGGCAAAGCACTTGCCTAGCACATATGAGGTCCTGGGTTTGATCCTTAGCACCACGTAAAAATAAATAATCAAAGATATTGTGTCCATGTATAACTAAAAAAATATTTAAAAGAAAAAAAAGATAAGGTCTTGGGCTGGGATTGTAGCTCAGTGGTTGAGCGCTTGCCTTGTATGCGTGAGGTACTGGGTTCGATCCTCAGCACCATATTGAATGAATGAATAAATAACTAAATAAATAAATAAAACAAAGATATTATGTCTATCCACAACTAAAAAAATGTTTTGTTTTGTTTTGTTTTTAAAAAGAGATAAGGTCTTGCTGGGTTACCCGGGCTGGCCTTGAACTTCTGGGTTCCAGTGGTCTCCTGCCTCAGGAGTAGCTGTGATATAAGTGGCATCAAGATGTCAATATTTGATTCAGGAGCAAGAAATTTTCTTTTCTTTTGGGATTTTCTTTTGCTGCTGCCTGTGGGAGGAAGATGTAGGGCCTGAAGGTGGAGCCTCACATGGAAATTTCTCAGGCTTGAGAGACAAGAGATCCAGGCTGTAGTCTTGGCTCCTCCACTCAGTTGATCTGTGTCTTAGGCAAGTCATTTCTCTTCCAGACTATACACAGTCTAGATAATCCTTAATATGACTTTTAACCCTTCATTTCCTGCAGGCCTGAGAGTCAGAGATCCTGGAGCTTAACAACATTACCTAACACATATTTACTAAACTTGTCTAATGTGTCAGATACCAGTCTAGATGCTGGGACCACAGCAGTGTGCAAGACAGTCTTTGGCTTCATGGAGCTTACATTGCAGGTCGGGAGGTAGATGATGAAGCACAATTGGGGTAGGGAGAATTGTGGGTTACCCCTTCAAGAAGGAGGTGACACACTAGAGCCAGATCTTGAAGGATGGGTGAGATTAGAGTGATTATTACTTTATATGGTTCACATTTGTAGAGCATTTTGCAGGTTTTGAAATGTTTTCATGTACAGGGTCTCATTTGATTGCTGTCCCCACTGTGTCCTAAGCACAGAGGAGGAGGAAGAGGAGGGAAACAACAGTTGTTATGGGGGCAGAGGAGGGCACCTGGGTTTCCCTGGTTAGAGGGGTACTTAAGGTTGAGTTCCCCAGAAGAAGCCCCTGTTATGAGGTGTTTTAGTCAGCTTTTCTTGCTGCTATGACTAAAGGACCCGACCAGTACAACTGTAGAAGAGGAAGAGATTATATGTGGGCTCACGGTTTCAGAGGTCTCAATCTGTAGACAGCTGGTTCCATTCCTCAGGGCTCCAGATGAGACAGGAACAACATGGTGGAAGAGTGTGGCAGATGGAAGCACCTTGTGTGGTGATCAGGAAGCAGAGAGAAACTCCATTCTTCAGATACAAAGTATATACCCCAAGGCCTCAATTCCCACATCCTCCAGCCACACCCTTCCACCTCAATTCCCACTCAATTAATCTGATCAGGGATTTGTACACTGATTAGGTTAAGGTTATAACCTGATCATTTTTCCTCCAACCTTCTTACATTGCCTAACACTGAGTTTTTGGGGGACACCATATCTAAACCATAACATGAGGAATCAGGCACCCAGACAATGCTTTGTAGTCAAGTTTTTTTCATGAAGAAAACATTCCCGTGAGGATTGTTAGGAGAGTGGGGGAAACAGGATAGAAAAGGGAGGAAATCAGACAAGGGCATGAGCTCAGATGGAAGTCTTGTGGCTGATGATAGTTCTGGGGAGAGCTAAGCCTCAGAGTTGTACCTAGAGAGTTGGGCTTTGATGTGCCCGAGCTGGACAGTCACTAACTGTAGCTCTCTATGTGTGGGCACATGGCTTCCAGCAGGCTCTGAAGCTGAGCTGAGAGAATTTGGGATATTAGCAATAGAATCTGTTAGTGGGGCATGCAATGGGGGAATATTAGGGATCAGAACACAGTAGCCAGGATTTTGGATAGCCAGGTGTGGTGGTGCATACCTATAACACCAGTGACTTGGGAGGTTGAGGCAGGAGAATCACAAGTTTGAAGCCAGTCTGGGCAACTTAGCAAGACCATATCTCAAAAGGACTGGGGAGGTAGTTCAGTGGTAGAGTGCTTGCTTAGCACTAACGAGCCCTGGGCTAGATCCCAGTATCACAAAAACAAACAAACAAAAAAACAACATAGCAGGGACCAAGTACAGCCTTGAATCTTAGGCAAAATTTAGAATCCATGTGGTAAATTAAGGATTTGAGGTTTTAGTTAAAAAGAACCCCTCTAAATTAAGGTTTTCAATATTACTGATTGTGACCACTGATTTGGCTGAAGCATTTTAAAGTCAATATGCTGGCAGCATCAAGCACACAAAATAATCCTTTTTTGTTGAAATAAGCATATTTAACATGAGAGCTATCCTTTTAACAAATTTCTAAGTGTACAACACCATATTGTTGATTATAGGTGTGATCTTATACAGCAGATCTCTTTCTAACTGACTCATCTTACATGCAAACAAATCATTCTTGATTAGAAATAAACATTGGCTGTATTTTCTTTAAAAACAATTTCATGATGTTATGGCACTACCAGTTTCTTCTTTCTTTTTTTTTTTTTGGTCCTGGGGATCAAACCCAGTGCCTTGCATGTGCTAACCAAGTGCTCTACCACTGAGCCCTAGCCTTTAGCAGTTGTATTTTAACTTAATGTTGGTCTCTGTCATGATGGAAGAGATAAAATTCCTTAATTAGGGCTGCTCTGCTTCATTAAAGTGACCTATAGAGTAATGAACTATGTTTTAATTGCACAGTAATGCTGGTGTTCAACCTCTGTAATGCCCATGAGGCTAAGTGATTACAAGACTAAATTATATGGCCGTGAACGAGGGGTAAACAGAGGCTGGGATGGTATTGCACTAGATTGCTGTTCTTGTCAAATGTACTTTGTAAGATGTATTTTTTTCTTTCTTTAAAAATACTTAGATGCATTTACTTTCCAAAGGGCATACGAATTCTGAATCAACATAATATCTAAAATATTGCATCTCTCCTGGTAAATCTGGGAGCCCAATGAAAGCTCTCTGCTTGCTCTCTCTCTCTCTCTCTTTTTTTCCCAAGTGAGCTGAAATCAGTTCTTTTTATTGATAGGGTCAAAGAGTTTTAGTAGTATCAACAACAGAACCTATATTTGGCTGCATTTTAGTGGAAAGAATATGCAAGCATGGGAGGAGAGTATATTAATGTATATAGTGGACAGTATTGTCTTAAAGATTGGGCAAAAAATTGGCATATTTAAAAAATTGTGTCTTCTGTATCAGAGATCTCCTTAAGCAAAGTTTGGTTGAAATCCATCAATATTTAAAAGATTTTTGCATAATGTACTTCAGTTTGCCCAAATGCCAAGAACCAGTCAATAACGTTCTTTTAAAAAGGGACAGTACGTGTACATAGCTCAAAATTCAGCATGGGAAAGTTTGACATAGTGACAAGTTTCTCCCTTCCTCTCATATCTTCCAGTCAGAGTCTCCTCAGCAGGGCAACCAGTATTGCTTTTCTATCCAGAGAGATCGTCTGCATATATAAGCATCATGATAACTTTCAGATTTTTCAGCAAGAGTTTGGGCAAAATTTTTTTTCTGGGGTTTTAAAATATTTTTAAATTTAATTTAATTTTATTTATTTTTGTTCAGTTTTTATTTTTTATATTCATGGATTTTGTGTAATTAGCAGACCAACTGTCCATGTTAACACTTTATTGAGGGGGTCCTCGTGGCCTGCCAAGATGGCTGCCCCCGCACTGAAGGCTCTGCTAGGCTGGTCAGGCTTGGCGCCGGGCTTGCTGCGTACTGTCAGTCCGCTTCTAGGGAGGAAGCTTTCCTGACCTGTTTGGGGGAGGTCCTTCTACCTCTTGGGGCAGAGCCAAAATTATTACTGTTCAGGCAAACCCAGGTGAGGTGGAGCCGCTATGGTGCTGAATTCAGAGATCCCCTAATTGACAAGGAACATTACCACAAGTCTGTGGCAGAGCTCACCGAGGAGGAGAAATATGACCAGGAGCTCAAGAAAACTCAGCTCATCAAAGCTGCCCCAGCGACGAAAACAAGCTCCGTTTTTGCAGACCCGGTGATCAGTAAATTCACCAACATGATGACGAAAGGAGGAAACAAAGTACTGGCCAGATCTCTCATGAACCAGACTCTGGAATCTGTGAAAAGGAAGCAGTTTGAGAAGTACCATGCTGCTTCTGGAGAGGAACAGGCAACCATTGAATGCAACCCCTACACCATCTTCTACCAAGCACTGAAAAACTGTAAGCCTGTAATTGGGCTGGTACCCATCCTCAGGGGTGGCCATTTCTACCAGGTCCCTGTGCCCCTAGCTGACCGACGTCGCTGCTTCCTAGCCATGAAGTGGATGATCACTGAATGCTGAAAGAATAAGCACCGGCGGACATTGATGCCAGAGAAGCTGTCACATGAGCTGCTGCAGGCCTTTCACAACCAAGGCCCCGTGATCAAGAGGAAGCACGATATGCACAAGATGGCTGAGGCCAACCGAGCCCTGGCCCACTACCGTTGGTGTTAGAGGGGGAGGAAAGGTTCCCATCAGAGCCCAGGGCCTCTGCCATTTAAAAACAAAAAAACCTTATGAGCCACTGTTCTCTTGAAAAGTACCTGTGGGTTAAGGATATAGTTCCTTTTGAGAAGAATGGAGCAGCATGTTTGTTGCCTATCAATCCTCTTCCTTTGGGGCTAGAATAGCTCTCCCTGTCCCATCTCTTTGTAAAGAGAGAACATGTCAACTTATTGATTTTTCTCCAAGAAACTCAGGGCCCAGGCTTCTCTCACCTCAGAGTGGGCCTTCGGATACTATGAAAGGAAGAAATTTTTGTATCAGAAATGGTTATTAGAAAATCTTTAATCTGAACTAGTGTAACACATTATATAAGAACTACCATTCATTAAAACTGGCTGGAGGATAAAAAAAAAATAAAATAAAACACTTTATTGAAAAAGTTCATTAGAGTGGCTGATATATAGTCAGGCACAGTGGCACACACCTGTACTTCCAGCTACTCAGGAGGCTGAGACAGAAGGATTATAAGTTCCAGACCAGCCTGGGAAATTTAGAGAGACCCTGACTCAAAATCAAAAAATAAAAAGAGCTTGGAGGTGTAGCTCAGTAGTAAAAAGAGCCCTGTCCTAGTATGTGCAAGGTCCTAGGGTTGATCTTCAGCAAAAAAAAAAAAAAAAAGAGGTTTGCTGATGTGCTTTTTTTTAATATGTCATTAGAGTAAAAATGCAGAATCCTTTGGGGTAAAAGTTCCAAAAGGGCTGGGGAGATAACTTAGTGGTAGGATATCCCTGGGTTCAGTCCCTAGTACCATACGAAAAAAAAAGTAACAGACCTAAAGTTTTACAAAATGAAAGTTCTTTCTAAGGATTAAATTATTATTAAACTAAAGTTTTTAGAATTTAAAATTGTGTGGCCTTTTTGAGAACTAACATAAAATGCTGTATATGGAATTTCATTTTGTCTAGTAACACTTTAATTTAAAAAATTAAGCAAGTCTTGCTTTTATAACAGCATGCACTTTATATAAATTAAAAAAAAATTAAGGGCTGGGATGTAGCTCAGTGGTAAAATGTGTGCTTAGTGTGCATAAGTCCCTAGGTTTCAATCCCTAGCACCAATAAATAAATGAATAAACAAACAAATAAATAGCTAAGAAGATCTTTGGAGCAATTGTGTCAATCGCACTACTTGATATTCAAATCCAAGCAACCAAAGAGATACTTGCTAGAGATCTACTAAGTTTTACTAATGCAAGACCATGGTGAAATTGTTCTAAGTTTTCTTAAAATTTGTCTTTGGTTATGTTATTGCATTTGCTTTGGACCTTAACTTTCAATATTTGTTTAATGTATCTATTTTGTACATTTCTATGTATTTAATTTTATACAAAAGAATGCCATTTTTCTTATTAAAATTGTGTCTCTAAGACGAAGCAGGCTGTTATATATTTGGGAGAGGGGCTGCAAGTTAGATTTTGCTTTGGAGTCCATTTCTACTGATTGTGTCAGCTAAGCACAGGACAATATGATGAATACATTCATTAAGGAAACATGCATTTTTTGAACCTCCTGTCCTCATCTGTAATATATAATAATGATATCAGTGATGTCTACCTGCAGTATAGTTGCTATGAAGGTTAAATAAAATAAGGTATGTGAAAGTACTTTGATAAATTCTCAAGTGCCACAGAGATGTCATTTGTTAAGAAAGTTTGTCTGGCAGTGATGTCAAAATGGATAGGGAGGTAGGGAGAGCTGAGGCTGGAGGTGACAGCTCAGAATTGATCAAGAGCTTCCTCTATATCTGGGGAGGTAAGTGGTAGGAACTGAGAGGAGGGGGCAGGTTTAAAGGCCACAAGAAGGAAGAAAATGGTGGGCTTGTTGACCAACTAAGGGGTGAAGTAGAATCACTGCATAGCTGATCAACATGGTATGTGTGATGTATGTGTTATACATGTATCTTCTTAATGTCCTCTATAGTTATATTTATAAACCAAAAACTTTAATGAGGTTAATTTATTTTTCAATTTTATATATATTTATTTTTTGGTACCAGGGGTTGAACCCAGGGCACTTAAATCCTGAGCCACATCCCCAGCCCTGTTTGTTTTTATTTTGAGATGGGGTCTTGCCAAGTTGCTTAGGGCCTTGCTAAAAGTTGCTAAGGCTGGTTTTGAACTCAAAATCCATCCGCTACAGCCTGCAGAGCTGCTGGGATTACAGGAATGCACCACCATGCCCTTTAATGAGGTTATATATTATATATATATATATATATATATATTTTTTTTTAGAAATAATAGTTCATATCTGTTTC